GATGGAGGGGGACACAAGGGGACATGGGGGATGGAGGGGGACACAGGGGGGACATGGGGGGACGGAGGGGGTCTTGAGGGGACATGGGGGATGGAGGGGGACAGAGAGGAGTAGAGAAGGGACGTAGCAGTGGAGCGTGACAGAGAGGGGTGTGGGGCACAGGGGGAAGCTTCAGGAACGTTCAGGCAGCTGCACCTGTCTGACCAGGTCTGTGGGGGCGCGTAGAGAGCTGCTGCGGGCAGAGGGTGCCCTCCATTGAAGGGCAGCCTGGCCCAGGAAGGGACAGAGGAGGCAGCCCAGTGCAGGACAGGCCCTCGGTCAGTGCCCGACAGGTGAGGAAGGGGTGAGTGAGTGAAGGATGAGCAGAACGTCCGGCCCCTCTGTGGAGAACCCAGTTCTGCAGGGAGGCTGGGCCCTTTCTTCTCCCCTTAAACCCACAGGCCTGTGGTTGAGAGGATTTCTATAATAGCTCCTTGGGCCTGGGCTCCCCGGGGCCCACACGGAGTCAGGGTGACTGGCAAGGGCACGGCCCAGGGCCCGAGGGGCAGGGCACGTGGGTGGGCGGCCTCAGAGGGGCCCTGCCGGCTGCCCTAGGCCTGGGAGACCCTCCGGGGGAGAGGCCTGGGGCCCTGGACAGCAGTGCGGGGAGCAGTGTGGGAGGTGAGGGTCGGGGAACCGGGGTGGGGGCAGTTAGCGCGTGTGCCCCCCCGACGGCCAGCCAGGCCAGACAGTTAGCCTGGGAGCAGCTGAGGCCGTGCACGGCAGGACGCAGGAGCCGCTGGGCAGCAGAAGCAGCAGGCCTGGGGCACTACTTACATGGGGTGGGCGGGGGGCCCTCGGCTTCCGGGGTCCCCGAGCCCCTCCTCACGGAGCTCAGGATGTCACAGATTCTGGGGGCTGGGTGGACAGGAGGCAGACATATGAGGAGGCTGCCAGGCGAGGCTGGGGGAGAGGAAGCAGGGCCTCTGGTCTCTCCCGCCCTGGGGCCTGTCTCAGCATCAAGGAGCCCTGGCCCTGACACCCGAGCAGAATGGTGGACCAGGCGGCCCCCCAGGCCAGTGGGGAAGGCCCGCACGGAGGAGGGCTTGAGGGGCAGAGGCCCTGGGGGGCCTCAGAGGGGGGCTGTCGGGGGCAGGCTGGTGCCCAAGCTCGGCCGGCCCTTGGCTCTCAAGCGCCCCCTCAGAGGAGTTGCAGGCCCTTCAGGGAGACCCCCGCAGCAGCAGGGGCCCGGCTACTTACATGGGGTGGGCAGGGGGCTTATGGGAGCCGGAGGCGGGCAGGACGGGGGGCCCTCGCCTTCTGGGGTCCCCGAGCCCCTCCTCACGGAGCTCAAGATGTCGGGGACCCTGGGGGCTGAGCGGACAGATGAGACGTGAACACGCAGGTGAGGACACGCAGGAGAGGAGGGGGAGTGCAGGGGAAGGACCAGAGGGGCTAAGTTGGAGAACCACGCAGTGGGGTCCAGGGCTCCTGGGGCGCCATCACCCCCGCGTGCCCAGGGCTGTGCAATCACAGCCGGTATGTGAGGCAGACACAGGACCACGTGCAGGGCTGGACACGGGGCCTTCGAAGGCCGGCCTCCAGGTGAGAAGTTTGTGTGCCAAGGCCAGCAGAGGCCAGGCCTGGGCCCACTGAGGCTTCTCCGCATCTGACGGATGACACAGCTGAGGTGACAGTCCCCCGGGGCCCCTGTGCCTGCCCTGCCCTGCCCCACGAGACCCCTCGGGCATCTGCCCACCCTCTCCCAGCCAGACAAGGGGTTGGGACGAGGCTGGCCGGGCTGGCCGTCTCCCCTATGCTCCTGCAGGCTCGGGCTGCCTCAGGCCCCCAGCCTGCTGAGGCAGGGACAGAACCGCAAGGACAGGGCCTGGGAGAGGTCTGGATGACCTCCATGCTCCATGCTGATGGTTCGGGGCCTGCAGTCTGGAGAAAACACGTGAACGTCCACCCTCCCTGTGTCCAGAGGCCAAAGCTTTATGTTCGCTTCCACTCTGGGGCAGGGAGAATACTCAGGACAGGGTCACTGCATCCCCCCTAAACTGGCAGAGTGGCCACTGTCCAGCCCAGGGGCAGCCCTGAGGGCACCCAGCGCTCATCTACAAGCGTGTGGCCGAGAGGGTCAGGCGGGCCCTCCACGTGGGGACGGGCGGCCTGGCCTGAGTGGAGTGGGGACCAGATCCTCTCCCTGGGGGCAGCTGAGAAAGCCGAGGGTGGAAGAGGGGGCCCTGGGTGAGCACATGGCGCCTGGCACCCTGGGGCCCTTGTGGGGCACAGACGGAGCATGGCCCAGCTCAGCCTGGGAGCCCTGAGAGTGGGTTGGAGCTCGAGTCTCTGCAGCCCACCCCCCCAATCCCACAACGAGCCCAGGAAACGCCCCTTGCTGCCCGTCCACGAATCAACTGCCAGCCGGGCAGGCATAGGTTTAAGGACCTTTGAGAGAAGAAACAGCAAATTCAACCGTGGGAACTGGGTGCACAGCCCCCAGAGCAATCTGGGGGCCCGTGCAGAGAACCGGCCCACCCAGGGCAGTGGCTTCCTCGCTGCTCAGGGAGCCCGGGCCCGTCAGGCTCTGCTTGGATGCTATGCCGGAGACTGCCCGGTGCCGGTCTGTACCCAGGCTCAGGTGGGACTGCAGCTCTGAGCAGGGTCAGCCCTGGGGGACACGCCCGCATCACAGGCCTCGGCCTTTCTCCATCCCAGCTCCCCACCCGCCAGTGGCCCGCCCCGCTGCCCCCGCAGGTGGGGAGCTGGGGGACCTTTTGTGTCTTCGTCCTCTATGGTGGTGTGGGTGCTGTCAGATGACTCCTGGGGAGACACGGGGAGACAACGGGTCAGGACGTGGCCTGAACCCCAGAAACCCACAGGCGGCGCTGGAGCTTCACACCAGCCCCAGGGGTCACCTGTCCACAGGCTGGGCCACCATGTCCCCAACAGCTGAGGACCCCAACTTCCCCTTCTCCCCACAAGGCACACCCAGTGGAAAGACTCCGTGTGCTCAGATGACTCATTAACAAGAGAGAAAAACAAGCTTTTTGGAATTCCAAGACTCCGGGTGAAGCAGAAAATCATCCACAGCCCATGCATTTTGGCAGACAGGGCAGAAGCTTCCAGCAGGTGCTCAGGAACCCTGGCCTGGCCCAGACAGGCTGCAGCAGCAACCACACCTCCTCCCCAGGTCTGGACCGTCCAGCCAGGCCTGGCCTTACCTCTCAGGTGGCCTTAAGGGCAGAGAGGTGGCCCCAGCACCTCCTACCTCACTCCTGGCTTACTGCCCTTCAGATATAAAACCAGGTGCCAGCCACCTGTCATTGAGTCCCCAGAAGGCCTGCCTGCTCCTCAGAAGGAACATCTTAACAGGGTCCCTAAGGGACCCCACGCCCCCTCCAGCCCCCTCACAGGACACACTGCTTTGGTCCCTGGGCCAGGAATGCGGGTGTCTACAGGCTGTAGGATCAGGGCTCACACCACAGCCCCGGAAGCCTCACTCCAGACACAGCGTCCTAGGAACACCCATCCCTGGCCCCGAGTCACAGAGGACACCCGGGCTCTTCCTAGCACCTTCAGCCTGGGGGCCGGCCCAGAGCCAGGTGCCCAAGGCCCCCTGGTCCTGGCCCATGGTGTGTGGGGACCCTTTGAGGATCCCAGGCCCGGGTGGAAGTCTGGTTCTGGAAACACAGCGTGGCCGCCCACCCATCCCTCCCCCGACCCCAGAGAGCCAGCCCCTTCCCTGGCCCCGGGGTGAAGATGCCGATGGGATGGGAGCTGATGCCAGAGCAGAGAGGAGGGGCAGGAGGAGGGGTCAGCTCAGCGGGCAGCACCGGGCGCAGCGGGCAGAGGCGACGAGCGATGGGTGCGGTCAGGGGGGAGTCTGTGCTGCTCCCCTCTCCCCCGCCCCACACTCGGGGGCACGCCGGGCAGCCCACGCCGGCCCTTCTCCCCCGGAGCACGCAGCCCTGGCCGCGCATCACGGAGGACACCCAGGCTCTTCCTGGCGCCCTGAGCCTCTGAAATGGGCCCTGCATTCAGCTGCTCCTGGCTAGGCTGGGCCTGGCCATCGCCAAGGCAGGATGGAGAGGGTCTGAGAAGTGGACCCTGCTCAGGACATGAGGAAGCCCAGGCTCCTGCGTCCACCCTGGACTCGGTACAACCATGCCTCCAAAAAGGGCAGCAGCTGGGGCCTTTCCCCAAGAGGGAGCAGCCCGCGGACCTGGGGGGCTCTGTACTGCCTTGGGAGGGGTCCCTGCACAGTTGTCTTGGCACAAATGCTTCCCCGGGGTCAACATCCCAGAGCTTCCCCAGGGCCAGGGGGTCTGCCTACTGCCTGAGCAGACGCTCCCAAGAGGGCGGTGAGGAACGCGCAGTACCTTGATCCCGTCCACTGGGTTATGAATGACGGTGGTTTGAGGTTCCTACAGAAGAAGGAAGCACAGAGGAAGGAAAGAGGGAAGTGAGACGAGGAGGAGCGGAGGCCCCGCAGAGGAGAGGAGGGGAGAGGGTGGCAGCGCAGCAGGACGGCGGCAGATGGCCAGCGGGCAGCAGGGCAGCTGGAGAGAAACCTGGGACGATGTGGATGGAACAAGCAGACCTGCCGGGACCTCGCCGGCGCCTGCGACGGGAGGGCGATGGAGAGCGTGCGCCTGAGGGCGGCGGCGAGAAGCCACACGCTGGGGGCCCCGCCTCCGGCGCTCCGCCCCCTCCCTTTGCAGCCGCTGCCTCGGCATGGGCGGGGCACAGTTTGAAGATGTCATGGGGGTGGGGTGGCACATGGGATGGATGGGGTCCGAGAGGGGGCTGGCTGCAAGGCCGGCACGTGGGACCCTCCCCTCCTGGGCCAAGGCCGCCCTCCCATTCGCTGTATGGCCATTCGGCAAACCCAGCCTCCACACGGGGCGGTCCAGGGCTCACTCCCAGAAGCAAGGCCTGGGGCCTGCGGGGACACCAAGTGTGCTTTCAGCAAACTCAGAACCTGCAGACCAGCAAACCCCAGCCTCTCGGGATGGCCTGCTCTACACGAGACACAACAGGCGCACAGCATACTGGGCAGGAGGGCCGGTACCTGCTGGCCACAACCCCGCACCACCAGCTCTGTCCCCTGGACAGGACCCTCCAGGTGAGGGCTGGTGCTGACGGGTCCCTCTGACCTCACGTCTGCCCAGGCCTCCCCAGCAGGAACCCCTGAACACTCCAGGCAGCCACAGGCCAGCACAGCCATAGAAGTGTATCTCCCCACACCTGCCTCGAGGCCTGCAGGACACAGACTGATGGGAAACGCCATGGCTGCTGCTGCCCTAGACCCGACAGCTGCTGCTGGGCCGTCACCAGGGAAACCACCAAGGGGTCTCTGTCTCCCTCCAGATCACTGGGCTCTGAAGCTAAGGTCAGGCCCACGCATTCTTCCTGGGGAGAAACCAAAGGCCCCCACCTCCCAGACAGCGCACCCCTGCAGCACCCAGGAGAGGGGTTGGCGGGGGAGTCCCCGCCACCTAGCCTGTCCTCACCCCCAACCCCCGGGCCACTCTCCCTGCAGAGCTTCCCCGGGCCGATCTCTGGGTCAGCCCGTTGCGAGCAGAGAGGCCGAGCAAGGTTGGTGCCCTGGATCCTGGCTCTCAGCCTCACCGGCTCCCTGATGGGCTCTCACTGCTGACCCACAAGTCAGCAGGGGCCTGTCCGCTGCACCCAGAGCGGCTCTCCGGCACGGCCTGAACTGGAGTCCACCCTCACTCCCACACCCGAGTGGCGGTGGGGCTGGAAGGGCTAAGTGTCATCTGTCAGAGACAGGCTGGCAGCCAGACCCCAGCTTTACCCCAGGCCTCCCGACAGGTGGCCACCACACAGCCGGGGTACCGGAGGGCCGAGAAGTGGGGGGCTGAGAGGTTCAGTACCAGGGCAGCTGGAGGAAGTGTCCCCTTGGGGCTGGTGGCAGCTGCACTGTTTTTGGTGCTATTCGTCTGGGGCTGCAGAGAGAGGAAGAGAAGCCATTAGGGAGAGAATGAGGGGGTCACGCCCCTTCCTTGGGAGGGGAGGAGGCCCAGAGGGAGCTTCGGGGATTGGGCAAAGCTGTAGGCTCCAGACGGGGGAGGGGGAGGGGG